AATAAAAGCCGTAGAGAAAAGGTGTACGAAATTAAGGAAGAGCCATATAAAATGGGCGACGACTGAGCCCCATAAAGCGAAGCGAAACGTCAAAAAGCGTCTCTCAATGCGCACCTACAGCCCCAACTCTTCAAAAATATATATAGACTCCTTCGCCGAAATTTCACATATCATAAAGAGTACCCTGTAATGGGACAAGAAGTTAAGCTTGCTATATGTCAAAAGATCTGGATTTATCTAAGATTGTATATTCCAATTTAAAGAAAACAAATGATGATTTAATTGAATATTAATTTAAAAAGCAAAAATAGTAAAAGGATATCACTAAATTATTGTAGATGCCTTTTTAAAAAGACTAAATCGTACAGTATATTTATGTTTCATTATTTTCATTTATTTTAATAAAATCAATCAACCTTAACTTGATCTACCAACCGAAACAATAATTAAAGTGAAGAGGATATCAATTAGTCGAACCCTTTACTTATGATCATATTATATCAAATACTAAAGGTTATTAAGTCCCTGTTTGAATACTCATTACATATGTATACATTGCAGGGTAGTTCGCAGTTGAACCCTTCATTCATAAGGCTCTTTAATGATCATGCAACAACTGCTTAACTTTAATCACCAATTAAATTTTTATAAACTCTCTTGTTATACCTAAAACAAAAATTTACAGGGTATTCGCTAGTCGTGTCTCCTAAGCCAATTCCTTGCTATTGTCATTGCAACAACTGTGGCAATCCATTTGCAATGCCAAACTCGATCTGGGGCGTCAAATGTCAAACGTGTTCATAACCAATTCGAATTGTTGGTTTCGTCGTCGTCGTCGTCATTGTGTTCTTCTTCACCTTCTTCACCTGATACACCTCCTGGCCCCCCCCCCCCCCCCCCCCCCCTCCATTCTTCTACACCTCCTTTTTACTTGAATCTCTTTTTTTTGGTTTTGTTTGTTTCTTTTTTTTTTGTCACAGCTTAAAAGAGATGAAACTAGTTTTTACCTTTGCCTCCAATTTTATTTGCCTTCAGCAACATTTCCTGGCTTTTCACTTGATTAATTTTTTGTTTTCTTGTGGAAAATGTGAAAACAAACTTCAGGCAATTTTCTCGATTTGATTTATAAGTTAATACTTTCACGGTAAGTAGATGCAAAAGAATTAACATATTTGATGGGATGAGCATCTGATGAATGGATTATTGTATTTTTTTCTAATCTCTAAAGTATTAAAATAAGCAAACAGTTTATATATTGTATAATTCTAAAATATATATATCTAAAATATGTATGTATGTATGTATCTAAAATATTGAAGCAAACAAACATACATATATAAAAAACGTGTGGAATATTAAATAAAATAGAAGAGTTTTGTCTTTTATATTTTATCTTAGGAACCCTGGAACTTTAAGAACTAGAAATTAGATTTTTTATTTATTTACTTAAAGAGGGATAAGTGTAAATCAAATGGTTTGATTATTTATTTTATATTATATATCAGCATATCATATTCTTCTTCTATTTAAGCTAAGAAGCTATACAAGCTGGAAATATAGAATTTTTCTTGATGATAAATATTAAAATAAATCAAAATCTAGATTATCTGCGACTCATCCCCTCACCAATTAAACTTGATTGAATTATGAATTTTGATGTATATGTATGTATCTGATATTTCTCTGCTTTCTGTTCCAGGAGATCTCAGTGTTGAACTTGTTAGACCCAATGGTCTTCGAAAACATATACACAGCTCTATTTATATTTTCTGTAGTGCTTCAGTCTTTTTTTATTCCTTTTCTTTTACGGTCTGTATGCATTTTGAGTTTTATTTTAGATTTTCGATATTTGTTGTTGTTGTTTGTCTTATTGTTGTAGTTTTTTTCCTTTTTTTTTTTTGGTTTTTCTTCAGTTTCAGTTGAGTTTTGTGTTTTAGGGCCACTTAGAAGCAAACATCGTTGTCGATTCCAACTGACGGACTGACGCACTGAGTGGATGACGGACTGATTGCATGACGAACTAACGAAACTAACGAATCAACGGACCGAGCGACAGCATACAAACAGCAAACACCAACAACAACAACAACAACAACCTCTTAAAAGGCTAAGAAATACAATAATGGGTCTCGGGCTCGGGTCCCGGACCGGGCCTAAGTTTACTTTGCCTTTTTCACTTTTGATATTTTGACATTTTCATTTGACAGCTGATTGAAGGGCCACATGAAGGCGACGAAGACGTCGCAGCGTCGGCATGGTTCGATTTCGATCGATGTGTTGGTCAGGGCGAGGGCGCGGCATCTCGAGGTTAGCGGTACGACGCGGCGTAGCGTCAAGCGACGAGCTGTTGCTATGCTAGGTCCGTTTGCTGCCGGGCGCGACGGTGTCAAGTGCTGCACAGTGGGGCGAAAGCGATTAAATTTGTAGAAGGAAGTCATGAGGAATATTCCATATCACTGGCCATAATCATTAAATTTAGCTACTTGGCTAATGAATTTGCTGAGCTCACTTGTAGGAGCTACTGGTATAAAAAAGTATAGTACATGCATAGGGCAAAGATATAGTTAGCTTTGGGTGTTAGAAATCATTTTAGTAGTAGAGGTGGAAGAGTAGGAATAAGAGTAGTAGTAGAATGTACTTGTAAATATATATTTAAATAGCTATAGTACGAGTAATATTTATATAAGAATGGCAAGTAGGAGTAGACGTTTCAGAAGCATGGGAATTTCCATTGCTTTTACTTTAAATTGAAGCAATACATTAATGTTGAAATACCAGTAAATGTAATAATAGTAGTGGCATATGAAATTGTAAAAATATTAGGAGTTGATGATAAGGCAGTAGATCTTTTAAATGTAAAAGTAGTAGTAATATTAATCGAAGCAGTGGAACTACTAGTAAGTTTAAGTTCCAAATAGTTAATAAAATAGAAATAGTTAAACCAGTAGTAAAAGAAGTTGTAAAAGTAAAAGTAGTAGTAGAAACACCAGTAAAAGTAAAAGTAGTGGTAGCAAAATTAGAAAAAGTGAAAGCAGGATTAGCAAAAGTAGTAAAAGTAGAAGCATTGATAAAAATATGCAAATTAGTTTTTGTTTTAGTAGTTTCATTGAAGGTAGTAGTAGAAATAGTAAAAGTAGTAATAAGATAAAAGTGGTCGAAACGCAAGTTGAGTGTGTAGCTCAGGTTATATTATAATGCCTTAGATGGAGAGTCTCCATTGGAGACGTAAGCTGACATAGCTGAAGCACTACTTTTTATCATTCATTATTATTTCATGGCACATAAATACTTGGTAGGTAAAGGTGTACTAATTCTTCTGAACTTCTTTAACTACATATAAACTATACATTTACATATTAAATATCAAATTTAAATAGTTTTCACATTAAAGAGCTTGACTGAAATATTCGCAATATATTACTATTCCACTGGTTGTGTCTAATATTTTAGGCAATGCCTTCCACTGTGCTGGGCAGAGGGGTAGATGGTGTGGGGGCGTTAAGCGTTGCCCATATGAATGTGCGACATGTTTGTCGAAGTTGTTTGGTTCTCCTTGTTGTTGTTGTTGTTTCCATTGTTGCTGTTGTTGGTTTGGCTGTTGCCCATTCCACGATGGATATGGAAATGGAGGTTACGTTAGGTGCCGCCTGCTGCAGGCCGCGGCGTTTGCGCCTAATGGCGTCGCCTTTACTTTAGCATTTACTTTTAGCGTCAAGTGTCGCGTGTTGTTGTTGTTGTTGCTGTTTGAATTGTGTTTTGTTGTGCTGTGTTGCCTGTGTGTGTGTGTGTGTATTGCTGTTGCTGTTGTTGTTTTTCTTATTTTCGCTGTGTTTGTCTAACTGCACTTGACAGTTGGTGAGCATTAGCCTGATTCAATTCATCTTACTCCCTCTCTCTCTCCCTCTCTCTCTCTCTCTGATACTATCTTTGCACTCTTCATGGAACCCTCAAGAGCCTGCCTATGCGGCCGCCTTATGAAGTTTGACTCGATCTTGGCATTTAATTGCCCAAACTGGAAGAAATTTGACCTATTCCAATTATGTGGCAAACTTTCTTTAATAACCGCCCACCTGCTCGCCACGATTCAGTGTCCCAATTTATTCACTTTGACGTCTATTTCTCTTGACAGTTACTGCAGAGGACATTTTTCATTCCGAATGGGGACGATTCGCACGCGAATTTTTAATAAGAAGAGATGCAGAGGGGAATAAAGAGGAGAGATATATGTATACTGAGACACGGATAGAAGAGAGATATATGTAGAATGAGATATATAGAGAGATAGACGACTCACTAGGAAGATATATGTACATATATCATATATGTATGTATATTATTGTATAGCAAGAGATGCAGAAAATGAAGTAGAATATACTAAAAGAGAGGTAGATGCCATATAAGTCATATGGAGAGAGAGGAAGGGAGAGAGAGAGAGAGAGATAGAGAAGTAGTAGTAGTAGTAGTAGTAGTAGAGAAAGAGGGAAGATATAGACAGATTTATCAACATCGATATATATATATATATATTTAGAGAGAGGGCGAGATATTGAGAGACACAGAGAGATATAGAGAAAGAAACAAGAAAACAATACATGCATGTACAAGAGAAAGAGAGAGCGGAGACAATACAAGGATTGAGAGAAATTCATCTGTAAGCACCAGAAGCAAATAATAAGTTAATCTGAAAATATTCCCTCTTATCAGTTTTCAATAATGAACTATTGGCATTTCACTTCTTGGGATGCCATAAACACAATGAACCATAGAGCGGTTATGAATAGAATAGTAGTAGTATTAGTAAGAGAATGTTACATAGTTTGATAAATCTATGTAAAATATAAGAAATATCATTAAAGATCTTGTAACACTTGAAACTCTCAACAGGGTAGCTAACAGTCGGGTAATTGCTGCGTTTTCAATTTGCAAAGTGTTTAATTACATGAATCTAAAACTTTGCCTGTTATTTGCCGACTTGACTTCTATATATAAATGTAATAAATGTTTATGTGTGTGTGTGTGTTAGTAGAATGTAGAATGAAAATCTGGCTGGAATACTCGCCCACTACAGATGGAGTGGAAAACAAATTACATAGCTATTTTCCGCATTTCCACGCTGTGCAACAGCAGCAGGATTCGTGTGCAACGGCTCCTCCTGCTGCTCCTGCTGCTGCGAAATTCTCGAGTGCCATAGGTCGACGCTGGCAACTGAGCCGCCAGGGCCCATACGAACGAGTGCAATCAACAACAGCAGCAACAGCAACAACAACAACAATAATATAAAACTCCAGCTGGGCTAGGGGGTGGGGGTAGGAGTTGGGGTTGCTTTGCCATGGAGCTGGACGAACGCTCAAAACGAATTTGCCACAGCACTTGAGCGCTTAACAAGCTGCCAAGAAGGACAGCAGCAGCACGAAGGATGGCGGCGATGCTGGTCATGTAATATTAAACAAGAGCAACAACAACGACAGCAACAACAACAACAGCAACTGAAGTAGCAGCAGCAGCAGCGATAATAATGACGGCGAAAACAATTGCAACAACGGTAAACAAGAATTCGCTCGACACGCTCAGCACTTGAGGAGCAGCAGCAACGCGGCGAAAGAGGACGGACGAAAAACAAGCAGGCGAAATGAGTGAGTGTAAGAAAGCAAGACAAAGACAGAGAGCGAGAGAGAAGGACTGTGCTGCTGTAGCACGCAATCACGCGCACTCGCTGCGCTTTAAGGACACAGCCGCAGCTTATATAGGCAGGTAGACAGAGACAGAGAGTGAGAGAGTGGGAGCGGGAGGTAGGGAGATAGGGAGGGTTAGGTGAACACTGGGTGCGCTTTGTTGGTGTGTAATAAGCATTAATGGGGTGCTCACCGTTCAGCTCAACGGGGTGCACACTGCAGCACTCCTGCTGCTCCTGCTCCTGCTCCTGCTGGTGCTGCTCACCCATTGCTATGACCGTTACCTATTCATCCCGAATGTTGTTTTTGTTTATCTGTCAACATGCAACGGCGGCTGCACAAACAACATGCCACGTCAGCCAAACGCTTCCCTGGGACATGGCAGCCCCATCCATGGCCAGAAGATGAACGCGATTCAAGGCGGAGGCGGCACCATGGGCTAAACTGAGTTACTGCAGAGCATTATATACTGAGGCAGTATATGCATGAGTTGGAGATAGATGAGAGCGGCATTACATAGGCATTTATCGATTTCTTATGCATGTGAAGCATATTTTCCAGTGAACCTCGTTTACTATGTTAGTATTAATATCTTTAAATTAATATTTTATGCTTTAATATATATCTGTACATGTATCAAAAAGAAGTCATATTCACACTATATTGGAGTGATGTGCCAGACCTAATATTTATAAAACAATTTTAAATGAATATTAATATTATCATTCCAATGAATTTAGATATTGATATTGAGTTACTAACCGCAGCTATATATATTTTCCTCTGGCAGATATTTTTTATTCTATATGGCATATTTTAATTTACGATATGTAATATTTTTTATTTCTTCTATGTGTCATTTCTTCTTATTTGCAATATTTTATTTTCAATATATTCTCTTCTAACTTCCCTGACTTTTTGTCTGTGATCAACTTTTTGTTCTCTTTATTTCCTTTCTAAAATTTTTATTTTCTTCTCTTATTTATTTTCCTTTTATTTCTCCCTGACTCTCATATTACCCACTCTAAATATTGTATGACCAATTCTATTGAATTATTCCACTGTACCACTGCAGCAGCAGCAGCAGCAGCACTGGCATCATCATCAGTCAGTTCGCAGTTCCCACTTGGCAGTTGGCAGTTGCGAATCCATCGTGTTCTTCTTCTTGCTCTTCTTCATCCACTTCTTGTGCATTGCCAACCCTGAAAACATTATCATCATATAGCGCTGGCCTATTCCCCCAACCCATTAGAGCAACGCGTTCGTGTTTGGCGATGATTATAATGATATATCTAACAATGATGATGATGATGATGATGATGATGATCAGCTGGAGAATGGGAAAGAGAATGAGAACGGGAATGAGAATGATGTGAATGACGTTGGCTCAGCCGCGGGGCGTGTGAGAAATCATCTTTTTAATTTTTACAATCAAATGTTTTTGTTATTATTTTTTGTTTCCACTCGGTGGGTGGGAGAGAGAGAGAGAGAGAGAGAGGGGAGACAGCTGGCCAAAATTGTAGCTGTCGAGCTGTTGGACGAGGGGACGGGGGTGTGCGAGGTCATTCTATTTGAAGTTCACGATTTTTTTTTTGTTCTCTTTTGGTTTGTGGTTTATTACACGCAAATAAATTAAATTTATGTTTGTTTCCATTTCCATTCGCCTGCAGTTGCCTTTGCCTTACGCATCGTTCCCACCTCTCTGCTTCTTTCAATTTTCTATTTTAAATGGTTTCTATGCGATTTTTCCCTAAACACTTTTCCCAACTACCCTCGCACACACGCACACTTTATCCCTCTCTCACTCTCACTTTCCCCCTTCTGCTTTCTTCCTTTTGGCCTGCTGAACTTGTTTGTTGCGTTTTTTGATTGTCCGCAGCTCTTTATTAATTTCATCATTTCGTGTTCGTTGTTGTTGTTGTTGTTGTTGTAATTAACCTTTTGTCTTTTGCCTTTTGCTTGGGCTGCTCATTTGCTCGCCTTGTCCAGTGGCACTTTCCCTTGGCTTGACCTCACTCTCTCCCCCACTCTCTCCCTTGATCCCTCACTCTCACTCTAGCCGGCAAAAAGGTGCATTGTATTTAGCAGGGTTCGAACCCTTACCTTTTTGCCCACTATTATATTGCTGTTGTTGTTGCCGTTGTTGTTGTTGACTTCTCTTTTGTCGGCTCGCATCGCCACACGAAACATTTTTTAGTGGGTAATTATACACTTGACACTTGATGAGGGCGTTCCCCCCACCTACTCCTACGCCAGCTTCTCTTTCTAAATACCTGCATGTTGTTTGTTTCTATTTTGTTCGTTAGTGTACCTGAACAGGCAGGTACCTTTACATAATTATCACCTTGATAGGCCTGGCAAGGTTGGGGGTTTCCTCTTCTAAAGGAAATCATATTTTAAGTATGTTCTCTTCTATCTAATTCTCAGCCAAGAGGCTATAAAAAATACATATATATGTATATACATTAAATTATAATTTACTTTGGGATTTTTTTTTGTTTTTCGTTCAGTTTTAGTTGAAAGAAAAATGCTTACAAATAGTATGAGGAAAATGCTCAGCACATTTCCAGTGCCCGCTTTTCATCCACCTCTCACCTTTACTGTGGCAAATCTAGCTTAATTCATTAAAATTTCACGCAAGTAATTAAAAGAAATTCGCTTCGAAGCATTTTTCCGCTTAATTTTCCACGCATTAGATAAGTACTTAAATCACTGTATGTGTGTGTGTGTGTGTGTGCGCGCGTATGTATTCAATGAAAAATCGAAATTTCCCTGAAAATTTATAAACACATTCATTTTGTGCTCAACATTTTGGATACTCATATAAATTTACATTAACATTTCGCTCGTTCGCCTCGATTGGGCATTAAAACGCTGTGGAAAATCGAAAGCGGAGAAAACTCATTAAAATTTTACGAACTTTGGGCGCAGTTTTTCTTATTTTATGAGCGAGTCTTTGTCTAATTTCCTAGCGCCAGCTTTCTTTCGTTCAAGGACCTCAAAAGAAAATTCCAAATTTTGATCACGTTACGTTTTTTAATTGTTCCCCTGCGGCGCGAGCGTTTAAACTCCGTGCTGGAGGGATGGGGGAGGGGCTGGGTATGGGGAGGGGTGGTCTCGGGGTCTCGTTCTGGCTACCCCATTTACCAGATTTTCCAGCTTGCTCTGCCACTTGTAATTGAGACCTTGGCATGCGTGTGATGAATTCTCCCACTCCTCTGCCTACCCACTCCCCCTCCTCATCTTATTACTCACTTATTTAAATTTCAAACTTTTATTGCGTTTTGTGTTTCTTGGAGTTTTCCACATGATATTTTCTTATTGCTTTTCCCATTTCCACTTCCGTTACTCAATAATTGCATAGGCATTTGTTGTTGTATTTGCTTGTTCTTCTTCTTATTTTGGTTCTTTTATTTATTATTTTACGAGGACACTTGAAGCGATATCTCAGCAATTCGAAAATTAGCCTCGAGCAATTTAAATGCCATAAAATATATTAAAAGAAGAGCATGCGAGAGGGAAATGGAGACACGTACCGCGGCCCACACGAACCCCCACCCCCCTCTCTTGGAAATTTTACTATATATGTGCATGTGCTACTCTTTATGGCATACAGCTGCGGGCTAGTCCTTTAAATCCTGGCAGGGATGCAATTATGTTCAAATGAATTGCCTATTAACTGACAAATAGCCCCATTTCAGACAGATGAGTCACTTTTAACGCTGACATAAGCTTATTAGCGATACAAGCTCTTTAAACACACACACACACACACATGCACACATCCAGTTATTGCTACTCATTCTGAATGCACTGAGAGAAAGCTACAGCTACTTTGTTAGCTTGTAAGCATACAACTATGTAGAGTAAAAGAGAAGGAAAACACGCGTAATAGAGTAGCATAATGAAACTCTATTAATTATGGAATACACCTATATAATACTAATAACAAATTTTACTTTGCTCAGTGTAATTTCGTTTGCCATAAAGTTCAGTCCGCTTTTACGATTACGATATCTGTGTGTACATATGTATGTATGTATATGTGTGCTTTGCGAAAGTTTAGGCATTGTCAAAATGAATTTAATTTCTGTCAATTACCATATCGAACTTCATGTTTAGTGGATAGTTAAATTGAAATCCCTTTCATTATATGCCCGCCATAAACTTTATATTCACTTATTTGCATTCATTTTTGCTACTTTATGACATTCGCCTTGCCGCTTATCTCCCTCATTATCCTAGCTGCAGTAATTAATTAGCTTCCAAAATTGTTTACGTGTGTGGAATTTTTGAGTAATTAGATGAGAGGGGGATCGGGCATATATAAAGTAAGTAGTTAGAGAAATC